CTGCACGTCCTGCAGCGCGGGGAGCCGCCGCTGCGCTCGCCGCTCACCTTGAAGGACTCCAGGAAGCCGCCGTGGCCGCCGTTCTCCAGCTTGTCCTCCTCGGGCCCCAGGCCCAGCATGGCCTGCGTGTGCTCGTGCAGCTCGTCGTGCAGGTTGTCCAGCAGCGCCGCGCGTGTCCGGTCCTGCACGAGAAGGGTCCCGGTGCGCGGGGGCAGGTGGGCAGCCTGTGGCACGGAGCTCCCCGCTGCTCACGCGGCCCCGGTGCCAGGACGCGGGGAGGGGGACGTGGCCGCTGTACCTCCAGCTTGGCGAACTTGTCCGACTTGCAGCAGGCGTTCTCGGCGTTGATGAGCTTGGTGAGCAGGAACTCCCTGAACTCGGGGCTCTGTGGGGGGAGCACAGAGAGTTCGAGATCCAGAGGCCACTCCAACGCTCCCTGATTTCTGCAGCACAAACCTACAGACTCTGGGTCCACTCAGGGGACCCAGCCACAGCGTGGGTGTGGGAGCACTTGGAAAGCAGCAGCTGCACTGGGCCTCTGCCCGGCAAACCACTGCCCTGCTCCGAGGTAGGTCACGGTGCCTCTGCTTCTCCTGCTGGCAGGGGCAGGCCGGCAGCTCCAGTGCACTGAGCACGGGATGTGGAAAGTACCTCGCTCCTGCTCCTGCAGGGCCTAGGGGTCCAGCACAGGGCCTGAAATGGGGCTCCGCTGCTGCCAGCTCTGCGCAGGGCAGCAGCGTTCAGTTCTTTAAATAAAGCTGGATACTCCAGGCCATCCCGCTTCCCACCCAGGACACATGGTGAAGTCTCCCGGGCACCCGCTTTTCCTTGCGCGTGAGAGGGAGCGCGCGCCCCGTCGCACCTCACCTTGTGGAACACGGGCGGGCTGGGCAGCGGGGGCCCGAACGAGGGCACGTCCTCCCGCGCTGTCACCGACACCTGCGGGGCCGAGGAAACATCTGCGCACAAGGGCAGGAGGAGGAGCTCCTGGCACAGAGCTGCTGAGCATCTTGCTGCTCGCGGCCGCCCCGCGGGGCTCAGCTCAGTGGGGCTGCAGATCCACACAGCGGCTCTGCGCAGTCCCTGTCCTGTCTGGCTGCCTTGCACAGCCCTTGCAGGAGAGCCCAGAGCTTCTCATGGGCGTCTGCAAATCCCCAGGGCACCTGGGACTCCAGGCACGTGCCCCAACGGGGAGGTGGCTGCAGTGCTCGCAGCGGCTCTCACCACGCGTCAGCGCGCTCCCCTACCTTGTAGGATGGGCTCTCAGCCTGCGGGTTCTCCAGCTGCACCACGACGTAGGCGTGAAGGAAGTTGGAGGCGATCATGTCCGGCACGAACGGCGTGTTCTCCTCTTGGAAGATGAGCGCCACGATGTCGTTGCCGATGTGCCGCTTCCTCTGCAGCTGAGCAGGGAGCAGCGGTGGTGGCCGCGGGAAGGGGGCTCCTTTGTCCCCTCCGAGAACCCGGGTGGCATCGGTCGCAGAGCTGCCCCTTCCCACAGCCAC